ACTGGACTTAATACTCTGTTATCCCTCCTGCATCACTTTGCGCCAAACATCGATTTGTCCTCCTTTTAGGGGTGTGATGAAAAATGTGCATAATTCAGTAGTCATTTCCAACGAATTGAAGAAGCTGGTTAACGTTTCCAGATGGCTTATTCCACTTTGACCTAGTGGCACTTTGCCCATTTTCTTCGTTAACAGGCCAAAGAATTACACAAATGTTTACAAATTGGTCACAAATGTTTATTGGGCGAAAGCACGCAGGGATGAAAGGTAGGTCGCCAGATTGGCTTTTTTGAGATTGTTTGGTTCTGAATCCGCATAATAAAAATTATGTAGGTGTATCATAGTCCCAAGATTATCCAATCTTTCAAACCATGACAAATCAGAGAAGAACAAGAAAAATACCCCATTTACATATCAAACGGTTCTTCCTGTCACAAAAACCATCAAGACAGTTGATGATAAAGTTAACGAAGCCGAGTTACATCTTTCAGTAAGTATAGTCTGCCACGGTGCAATAAGAACCTTAGTGAGATTAGTGTGAAACATGGGTATGGAAGTACTCTAGGCAAGATCAAATTGAACAAAACTAAATTCCTACTTCCGCTGAAAAATGTAATTTCAATTGTTTTGAAAATTGAACTTATTGAAGATTTAAAAGATAAAAGGTATGTAATTATTATAAGTGATTCAACTGATGTTTCAACTCAAAAATATTTGTTTCCTTTAGTAAGATTTTTTAGTAATTTAAAACAGCAAATCATTACTGGTTTTTTAGGATTAATTGCTGTTCAAAAAGCAACAGGAGAAAATATATTTAATTTAATTTCAGATGAAATTCATAAATGTGGCCAATCTTTAACAAATTGCATTGGTTTTGTTTCGGATGGTGCAACTAATATGGTAGGATGCAATAATTTTGTATGGTTAGTTCAGGGAAAGGTCATGTATAGTTTATTAATGAATTGGAAAAAACTTAAAAGCATATTTTATTTCTGCAGAAAAAGCAGAATAACAATTTGACACCAAATTTTAAGCAAGAATGATAAAAGAAATGATCTTGGATCAGACTAATTATTGCAACTCCAATAGTTCAAGAATTTGAAAGTTTAAATGGCCTTTTTCAACAAATAAAACAAACCCTTATCAGTTTATTTTTGCACTACAGATCTTTAAAAAGTAGACTTTATGATGGTAATTACATGGTATAAGAAAAGTATTTCTAAAGTAGATTTTGGAATGAAATTTTTGAATGAATGTGATAAATACCTGCAAATAAATAATAACAATGAAAAAATCATGCAACAAGTTCTAAGTGTCAAAGAAAGGTGTATACAAATGTAAGAAGCTTTAAATCAACTTCAACAAAGGCTTCCATCGGCAAGAAATTTATTTCAAGATCTAGCGCAATTAAGCCCAAATATAATTTTAAACCAATCTTTATGACCAAAGTTTTCTGAATTACCATTTTTGAATTTAGCACAATACGATTGAAGAGCAATACAGAAAATTACGTTTTGTCAATTGGATGGACGAAGAACAATTTAAGGAATGTGGAATACCCAATGAAACTGAGCTTTTTGTCAAAAAATATTACAAAAACCCCAATTCAAAGAACTTGCGACTTATGCCTTCAATTGCCTAATAAAACCTATTAGCAATGCTACAGTATAGAGGGAAATAAGGCAAGGAATAGAATGCAACTCTCTCTTCTAGATGCAATTATTTGGATTAGGTCACAACTTTTGTTCTCGTATATATGTTGCAAAGAATTTGTCCCTTTACATAAAATGTTAGAATGTTTTACTTCTGAGAAACTGTATTCCCCTGATTCAATTTCTTCCCTTAATCATCAAGATGTGCTTTTTCGGGAAGAAGCATTAATATAATAAAATAGCATTAAGTATACTTAAAGTATAATGTATATAAAATATATAATAAATTTTGGCTTTTTTCTGGTTTTTTTACGTTAGTTGTCTGTTTTGTTAAATTTAAATCTAGCAACGTTGATGAAAGATTTCACCAATCATTTTTGGACTTCGGCAGGATTCTCCTTTTAACTGAACGGAATCTTCATGTGCGGCTGGCGAGGTGGAGGAAATTGAAGTTATTAAAATTTGTAAGCAGACTGTTGGTGACCCCCTAGAAGAAGAGACGGTTATGCTAAATTTGTCGTCTATGGCAGTGGTTCCCAACCTTTTTTCATTAGCGTAACCCATGACATGTCATATCTCTAGATTGTACCCCTCATTTAAGAAATTTAGTGAGTACCCGTATTGTTAATTTTACATATTGTAAGTTTAAATTAAAAAACAAAAAGTAAATGAAAAAATGTATAATAAAGTTGTGATCGTTGCAAGGAACATATTTTACCTGATAATTTTTTAATACTATTAGTTTGTGATACATAATATATTATTTTTTCTGCCATAATAACTAACTTTTTCTGTACCCCTAAACAACCTATCGTACAACGCGTACCACAGGTTGGGAATCGCTGGTCTATGGTACTTCTTCTCTCGCCGAGTTATTCCCCAGAACTATTGTTTGTGGTAAGACTTTCACATCTGCAGCACACGTCCGGACTGGTCCGCTCGTTTCCTTGTCTACTAAACGACCGTAATGCATGGTCAATTCATGAAACTGGAACTACTGGAGGTTTCAAAAAAAATCTTTTTGAAGAGTTCTGCGATGGGGTGAAGGCATTTAACATACCTGATATTAACATGGATGAATTATACGAAGAGTATGGGTTTGCGGAGCCCATTATAAATAATCATAAGATGGTAAACAGCAGCTGCGAAGAACGCTGTCTGAAGTTATTTAATAACGGTGACATAGAAATGTCTTTTTAGTGCCTATATGTTCTCCATAGCATGTAGCAATGGTCATGCCGAACGAATTTTCTCAATGATGAGTTTAGTATGGAAATATGAGAGAAATCGTTTGAAAGACTCTGTCAAAAGCAGAATTCCAAATATGTAATAACTTTACATAAGAATGTTCAATTATGTACAAAACACTTCTTGCCAACAACAAACTACTGAAAATAGCAGGAAAAGAACAGAAATATAAAAAGGAGACAGCCATGCCCTCATTATTGTTTTGTTTTTCTTTTGTTTTTTAAATAAAATACTGAATTTTTGTTCTGTTTTTTCTCGACATTTGATAGTTCAATTATAGTTTTCGACGTTTAATGTTATCACTAATTATTGAACATTCCATACACTTATTTTTCCATATATTATTTACACGTGTAAAAAATGGAAACCACGAGGATCAACAGGGTTCGCGGGGATTACCCCCAACAGTTTCCTCCCTTTTAGACATTGAGTAAGAATGTCTTTGTCAATGGATGAGAAACAGTATCTCAATGTCAAGCTCGACTTGAAGCTCCTCTCAATTCTTCAACTTTATTTACTCATAAAGATATTTTATCATGTTTGGCAGGAGAATTTCCAGTATATTAAAAATATATAAATGAAGGTACAGACTAAAAGAAAACAGAGACTAAAAACTCCCTACGCCATTTTGGTTATGGATTTTAAAATCACGTGATGAAATTTAAACCAACCACAATACAGTACACAACTGTTCCAAACTCGGTTACAGGGCACCTCCATTGAATTCTCATAGCGTCGTGTATACCTTACGTCACGGGTTAAATTTATTCTTTTAGATATATATTATTCCTTATTTTAATATTGTATTAAAACAGTTAATAAATAACAAAACAAGGAAAAAAACTCGTAGTATAAAGTTTTTTATTATTTTATTTTATTATTTTATTATATATTTATTTTATACAGTAGAACCTCCATTATCCGACCTAATTGGGGACTGGGGTTGGTCAGATAATTTAAAAGTCGGATAACCGAAAAGTATGAAAAAATCCATTATTAGTGTAGTATATTATTATATCCCATGTAATTAGTATATTAGTATATCGCTATTAACCTACTTTGCGTTGAAATTTTCATCGATGTTAAGCCTAACAAAAATTTTTTAAAATAATAATCGTCGCTATTGTATCGTTAAAAATTAGAAAATTAAGCTTCGTTTAAATACTGGCTCCCTTTCATGGTCGAATGAGTGTTGCCAGCTAAAACACGTAAAAATAATATTAAAGTAGCCAAGACATAGCCAAATATTGTAG